CAGGTGATCTCGGGGCGTCCTGAACCACTTCCTCTTGGAGCTCTCTTGTGCTGTCTGAGGGCTCTCTCGTGGCCTTCTTGGGACCCTCTGAAACCAGTTGGGCGATTTTTTGCCAAGGGAGAGGCGACCAACACTCAGGCTACGATGCCGCTGCTCAACACTCGTCGCTCGCCGCGTGATATGCTGGATAGAATTTAAAAGCTAAGCGCAAGCGCAAGCGCTTCGCGGTTGGGTTCTATCACAGGCCAGAGCGCTCCCACGACATAGTGGATGCATGCTACGATGCCTCGTGGGGCTGACGCAAGCCTGCGCTACCTGCTTGATGTTCGGACCAACTCTTCTTTCGAAAGCGTCCCGCTTCAGGCCACACGACTCTCAGGGCCCGGCTCCGGCAAACTGGAGAAAGCTGGTGTGTGATGTAGTCGCCCCCACAGTATCATACATATCTTTGCTTGCTCTCTGATTCGTCTCCTCCTTCTCCTCCTGTTCCTCCTTCTTTTTCAATGTTCGTCTTCATGAAAACATCGATTGAAACCACATCCTGCTATACACAGGTTTGTTTGGTCTCTATGCCCGGTGATACCAACAAACCATTATATGCACATGTTTTGGGGGGCGTCAAGAGGCCCGCAAATCTGGCCAGGAGCAGACCCTACTATACACATGGATGTTGTTTTTGCTATCGGTGATATCACCGAGCCACACTGCATTCAGGTTTGCTTGTTGGGTTATGGTGTTCAGGAGGCCCGCAAACTGGTCCAGGAAGGCGTGCGGGAGAGCGTGCCCGCCAACTCCTACTATGCACAGGATTGGTGTAAAGGAGGAGGAGAGTAATGAATATATCTGTCTTTCTTTGTCTGTGTCAATGAGGTGTCTCTGCCCATCTCGAGGAGTTCTTATGCATATACCATATCTATATTTCTATCGGTCTATCTCTTTCAAAGTTCCTCTTGCCTTCAACACACTGCGAACCATATTTCCGTCTGTCGCGCGCATGCATCTGTCAAGAGGGTACAGATCATTCCTTATATGTCGCTCTCTTTCTCTCTCCGAGACACACCTTCCTAACAACAAGTGCAGCCCCCATGTATCTCTATAGATCTGGGTGGTAAATGTTGTGTTGTTCTACATCGCTCACCCTCTCCCTCCGTCCCACCATACATCCGCAGATGCTGATCCCAAAATGCAAAGGCAAAGGAGGCGGAGTAAGAAGACGGTCTCTCTCTCTCATATATGAAGAGGGAGGAGGGGCAGGAGGATAACCACCTGGACGTCGTTATGTCCACTCGTCTCCCCTCGGGTTTCTATAGGGAGTCATTGGATATGTGGTCTGCTCCATTCCTAACGACGTCCTTCTGGGATGTGTCCCATTACTGCCCAGAGTATCTGGGATCTGTTTCGTTACTAGCCAGAGAGCAGGCGGACGACGACGAGAACGGAGGATGATGGAAGGGGGTGATGCAAGGAGCAGCAAAACTACGATGAGAAAGATACCGATGATCATGAGGCCGTGGATCGGATGTGGAACCAGAGCGGGAGGAAGGTGTGGCCAAGGACGAGAGAGGAGGGATGAGAGGCGACGTGAGGATCAGCAGAAAGACTGCGGATCCTCAACATTAGCATCCTGCGGTTACCCCGCGCCTTCCTCCTCGTGTCCCTCCTCCTCGCCCACCTCAGCATCACCACCACCATCACCACCACCGTCATTATGATCGCCGTCGACGTCGTCATGTGCGTCTTATCGCCCGCCGCCTCCGCAGATGGACGTCTCCGCCTTACCCTCCCACGCCCCCTCTCCCTTTCCCCTCTTCTCGCGCATCCCCGCCCTCAGCCTACCGCGTGCCTCTTCAGTATCACTGGCAGCATATAAGCGCCATGACCTCCAACATCACCACCACCATCGCCGTCATCGTCGACGTCGCCAGCAGCAGCTACGCCTTCTCGTCCGCCCCCATCTGCTGAACGGAGCCTCCGCATGACCCTCCCGCGCCCGCTCTGCCTCGCTCCCTTCTCCGCGCTCGGCCTCGCCCTCATCCAGCCGCGTGCCCCTTCAGCAGCACTAAAACACCATAAACAGCATGATCGTCATCATTGCCACCACCATCGTCATCACCACCGTCGACGTCACCATCATCAGCTACGCCTTCTCGTCCGCCTCTCCTGCTGACAGCAGCCTCCACAGTAACCTCCTGTGCCCCCCCCCCCTGCCTCTTCCCCCTCGTATCACCCATCCTCCCCCTCAGCATGTAGCGTGTCTCCTTACCATCAACACATCATACTCCTCGCCCGCTTCTTCACATAGGAGAGGTAGGAAGGCAGGGGGGAGGATCGCAGAGAGAAGGGGATGTGGAAGAGGAACAGGAGAAGAGGGGGGGGAGGAGGAGAAGGAGAGATAGAATGACGGTGATGGGGGTGATGAGGATGCTGAGGACGAGGGATAGGATGGCTGAGGGTGGGAGGATGAAGGGCAGAGGATGGGCGAGAGAGCACGGAGACTCAGGACGAGAAGGGGGAAACGACGACGAGGAGGACGGAGAAGGGGGGGGGGGGGGGGGGCGACGCGATGACCAGCGGCAACACAATGCGGATGAGGACGATGACCACGAGGATGTGCACAAGGTATGGAAGAGGATGAGGAGGACACTGTGCACGAGGACGGGGAGGAAGGATGGGGGGGCGACGTGGGGATCAGCACCAACACGGACGAACACGGGGAGGACGATGATCACGAGGACGAGGGGAATGAGGGCCACGAGGACTCACATGATGATGAGGAGGACGATGAAAAAGATAAGGCCAATGCTGCCGCGGAGGGAAAACATGAGGATCTGGGTGAAGAAGGTCTGGGTACGAGTAATACCACAGAGGCTGCCTCCTCTTATGTCGCATCCTCGCCCAGATCATGCCACATGCCCTGTCTCCTCACCCGCTTCCTCACCTCGTAGGAGAGGTAGGGGCGGAGGGAGGAGAGGAGGGATGAGCGGAAGGCACCACTCCGAAACTGAGGTTGGGCTTAACTCTCGCGCCAGCCGTTGTAGGATGAGCATGCAGGTGAGGAGAAACGCGATGATGATGATGGGGATGATGGCCCCTGGCAGAATGACGACGATAAGGATGATGGTGGTGATGATAATGACGATGCAGATGTTGATGATGATAATGATGATGATGAGGATGATGAGGATGCTGATGATGATGATGATGATGGTGATGGTGATGGTGATGGTGATGGTGATGATGATGATGATGATGATGAGGATGCTGATCATGATGATGATCATGATGATGATGATGCTGCTGATGATGATGATGAGGATGATGATGATGATGAGGATGCTGATGCTGATGATGCTGATGATGCTGCTGATGGTGATGATGAGGATGAGGACGAGGAGGATGACTGGGGGTGGGAGGCGGCAGGAGAGGAGGAGGATGAGAGAGCACAGGGGATCAAGAGGAGAAAGAGGAGGACGACGACGAGGACGGAGGAGGATGACATGGGGGGCGGCGCGAGGACCAGCAGCAGTACGATGAGGATAATGACGATGACCATGAGGATGAAGGAAGAGGATGACTGATGGTGGGAGGAGGAAGGGCAGAGGATGGGCGAGAGAGCACGGATAATGGGGAAGAGAAGGAGGACGACGGCGAGGACGGAGGAGGATGAAAGCGGGGCGACGCAAGGACCAGCAGCAATACGATGTGGATGATGACGATGACCACGAGGATGTGGACAAGGTATGGAAGAGGATGAGGAGAAAAATGTGGACGAGGACGGACGGAGAGGAGGGATGGGGGCGAGTTGAGGATCAGCGCCAAGACGGATGAGGACGAGGAGGACGATGATCACGAGGATGAGGGCGACGAATGCCACGATGATTCGCATAATGATGAAGAGGTCGATGATCAGGATACGGCAAGTACTGTAGCGGAGGGAGAACATGAGGATAGAGGAAGATGACCATGATGAGAACAATACTGCAGATGCTTCCTTCCCGTATTTCTCATCCTCGCCCTGATCATGTCACGTGTCATCATCATCAGACTGTGTTCCTCGTCCGCATCCTCAGCTCATCGGATAATTAGGGCGGATGAGAGCGAGCCCGACGATCATGAACAAGAAGGTGATGACATCCGAGTTCCAGGAATCATATATGAATATGGTAGGCGGTGGATGCAAACGAACGGTGAAAAAAAGAGATGATGGGGAGGTCGGGGAGAAAAAACAAAGTGGGAAACGAGATTTAACGCAAGGCGAATGGTATGATACTGAGGGGGGCTTACCGCGTCTACCAACAATGTCCTTCCGATTCCCTTGATAATCCCCCGGTGTCTCGTTCGCTTGTCCTCGCTTTTCGTGTCTCCATGATCTCGACTGCCTCGTCCTGCTGGGGGCTCTGCGTGACCTTCGAGCTGCTCAGGGCCGGCGGGGGTGGATATTGAAAGTGAACAGAGTGGGCGTGGAGTGCGGGGGTCTCTTAGGGATCTTCCTGGAGTGTGCTGCGGCTGCCGTGGGTCTCGCTACAGTGCGTCGTCGGGGCGTTCGGAGCTCTTGGCGCCCTGAAAGAGGCGTTTGCAGGCCTCTTGGGGGGGGTCTTGACACGCCTTGGGCCGCCGTGGCGCGTCCGGGTGCTCTTTGAAGGCCCTCTAGAGCGGTCTTGGTGCTCTCTTGGGACGTGATGGAAGCTCAAGGACTCTCGTTGCCATTTCCAGAGGCTCTCTTGTGGGCCGTCACGGGTTCCTACTGCGGCTTCTGGCGGCCTGCTTCGGGCGTCTGGGCTTGAGGCATCTGGGGGCCCTCTCGAAAGCAGGTTGGGCACCCTAGAGGCGCTGGACCTATGGGGCAACCCAACGAGATGGCAGAGGCCTGCCATACGAAAACATGAAATGGCCCCGAGAAGACCCGCAAACATTTTCCGGCAAAACACAAACTAGAACTCAGTCAGAGGAGAGGGTCAGGGGCAGGGGTGGCGAAGCAAGGCGTGCAGGGCCTGCTCAAGTCATGTTGAAAGGCCCCGCTCCTCGGCCGCTTCCTTCTCGGAGCGCCACTCGTCCAGCTCGTTGTGTTTCCCCTCCTCGCGCTCGGCCTCCTCCCTTGCGCTGCACATGGTAGCCTCGACTGCCTCAGGAGGGAGATGGGGGATGGGGGACGGAGAGAAGGAGGGAGGAAGGAAGGAGGGAGACGGGACGGAAGAGGGAGGGGGAGGAAGAGGTGAGTATAGTTGGCAACGAATAGTAAGCAAACAAATCCAGTGTCCCGGCAACGAGCGTCGCAGCAAACGCCATGAGAGCGCTTCCGGATACACCTAGTTACACCCAGTTACACCCAGTTACACCTAGTTACACCTAGTTACACCTAGTTACACCTAGTTACGCCCAGTTACACCTAGTTACACCTAGTTACACCTAGTTACACCTAGTTACGCCCAGTTACACCTAGTTACACCTAGTTACACCTAGTTACACCTAGTTACGCCCAGTTACACCTAGTTACACCTAGTTACACCTAGTTACCCTCAGTTTCCCTCAGCTACCCGAGTTAAGGCATGACGCAATCAGTCTGAATCGGAGTGCAGGCATTCGAACCTGGAACCTCGGTCCTCGATCCTCGCCTCGGTCATCGATCCTATCCTCGGTCCTCGATCCTGGTTACATTTTTCAAGACAACCTCGCCGACACATCGGCGATACATCGGCGATGCATCGCCGATGCATCGGCGACATCGGCGATGCATCGACGACGCCAGCGCGGAGAAAATCGAGCATCACATCGGGCCGCATCGCCGATGCATCGACGATGCGGCGCGATCCTCCAACCCCATCTGCTCGGACCCATGGGGGCCAGGAAGAGGGGGTGGTGCGCACTGGGGCCAAAAGCATGGGGCGCGGACGAGCGGGGGCCTTGGAGCGTGTTGAACAAAGAAGCAGAAGAAGAAGAAGAACAAAAAGGATAATAATAAACTACTAATAATAATAAGAAGAATGTCAATAATAATGCTAAGAGTGATAAGGATGATACGAATTATACGAAACATATTATTATACGCATGATCTCATGATCATAGGCATCACAACTACTGATAATACGTATAGAGGAATACATATGATACGAATAGGAATGCGAATACCAATGCGAGTACAAATACTAATGCGACGAGCAATCATGAGAACAAGAAAACAATACCACATACAACATAACAAGAAACAATGGTAACCATGAGTGTTATAACGAAGAGGGCGAATAATACGAATAAGAAAATAATAAGAAGGTAAATATGGGGGAAATATACTAATAATAATAAGAAGAGGAAGAGGAATAAAACGAAGACGAAAAAGAAGAAGAGGAAGAGGAATAATAATAATAAGAAGAAGAAGAAGAAGAAGACACAGTCCTGACCCCCTGTCGGGCGCCTGGTGTTTTCAGGACGCCACACCCGGTCTCCGGCGGCCTGTCACGGGACGATCCGGGCACACCTGGGGGGCCGCTCCTGGCGAGGCGCGGCTGCGGCTGAGCATCCGGAGGCTGGCAAAACCCCAGGGAGCCTACGAAAACGCCAGCAAAGAACCTCCCTGGACGAGACCCTACACCTCGCGAGTGATGGGAAACGCAATTTTCCTTCAAAAACCGCACTCAATGAGCCACAATAGCGTTTCCCATAACTTTAAGCTATGGGAAACGCAATCCCGGACGACTGCCGCCCTGTAGTCCCTCTCTGGCGCCCCCGATGATGCCTCGACGGCGCCTGGAAATCTGGGCCCCTCCCGTTCCTGTCGGCCCCTCGGACCCCTCATGCGGGCGGTCTCGGAGACCTTGAACCCAAAATTACTTTCATTTCTTGGATCTTCCGCCGCCCTTCCGCTGCCTTCCGCCGCCGAGGAAGAGATGACAACTCCTTCGACCCTTGAAGGCAAGGCCTTTTCTAAAACGCCCCATGTGGCGCTTGCAGCCTGCCGAATATTTCTCTGGAAAACCTGGCCTCGTGGCGACAAGGACGCGCTGGCAGTCCCAGCCAAGGCCCAAAACCGCCAGGAAGCCTACGGCCAGGGACTTTTGCTGAGCGTGTCGCAGCGGCGCCCCTGGAGGCACGCTATGCCTTGGCGAGCTGATAACGTGTCGTTCCGTTCCGTGGGGCGGGAGGCTGGCAGGAGTTCGAAGAGATGACGCTGTGCGCTGTGGGACCGGATCGTGCTCAGCATGCGGCGCCGCAGCGTGGTGAGCCAGAACCGGCGGCGCCACACGCTTCCTCCCCATCATCATCATCATCATCCCCCTCACCATCACCACCGCCACCATCCTCCCCCTCTTCCTCCTCCTCCTCCTCCTCTTTCTCCTCCTCCTCCTCCTCCTCGTTGTCCTCAACCCATCATGTTGTTCATCCCCGCTGTCCGTCACAATCATCATCCTCTCCTCATCGTCATACGCATCGTCATCATCATCATCATATCATCATCATTATCATCATCATCATCATCATCAACATCATCATCATCATCATCATCATGAGGTCGCGACCCCGGAAAGCCTGACGCCCCGAAGCACGAGGGGAGGAGGAGGAGCAACAGGAACAGGAACAGGACAAGGATAAGGGAGGGGGGAGGAAGGAATATGAGGGAGGCAAAGCAGCGAGGAAGGATGGCGGAAGAAGATGATATAGGAGGGGGCGAAGGGAGGTGTTGACAAAGGGGCGCCGCTGTCCCCCGCAGTTTTCCCTCAGTTTCGTCTCAGTTTCTTCCGTCAGAAAGAGGCTGCAGCTGTAGGATACCAAGCCGCAAACGCAGTGCCAGGAAAGCTACATGCAACCGAGAGGAAACGGAGTGCAACTGAGGGAAACTGAAAGGAGGGGGCGAAGGGAGGTGTTGACAAAGGGGCGCCGCTGTCCCCCTCAGATTTCCCTCAGTTGCGTCTCAGTTGCTTGCGTCAGAAAGAGGCTGCAGTTGTAGGATACCAAGCCGCGAACGCAGTGCCAGGAAAGCTAAATGCAACCGAAAAGAATCGGAGCGCAACTGAGGGAAACTGAGTGTAACTGAGGGAAACTGGGTGTAACTGAAAGAAACTGAGTGTAACTGAAGGGGACTGAATGCAACTGAAGGAAACTGAATGTAACTGAGGGAAACTGAATGTAACTGAGGGAAACTGAGTGTAACTGAGGGAAACTGAGTGTAACTGAGGGGAACTGAGTGTAACTGAGGGGTCCGAACCAGCTCCGTCCGACGCCGCGCGCGGCCACAATGAACAAATCATACACTGTGTGCTATATATTATTTATCTTGAACAAGCTCTCGGGCGAGAACGCTGCCAAGTTGCCCCAAAAACAATTTCGCTCGGGTTTCTGCTCGGAAGCACACACCCAGCACAAATACCAACCCTCGTGCTTTTCGGGGCGCAAGGAGAGGGGCGCCCTCAGCTCCAAGACGGCCCAAGAGGGCCCCAAGACGGCCCAAGAGGCGCCCAAGATGGTCCCAAGAGGGGCCCTACAGGGGGAACGCAAACCGAAAATCCGAACCTTCCGCCCGAAGATGCCCCCAGACGGCCCCAAGAGGCCTCCAAGAGGCCCCAAGAGGCCCCCAGAGCGCTCCAATAGTATCCCCGAGAAGGCCCCAAGAGGCAAACATCAATGGCGCGCAGGGGCAGGGGCAGGGGCACGCAGTTAGCACAAAATCATGCAGACTCTCCGAGAGGGGGGTGATGAAGAGGAGGGGGTGCATGCGGGAAAACGTCCATGGGCGAGGCCGCCTGGAGCCTCTTGGGCTCCCTGTGGGGCCTTCTTCTGGGTCTCTTGGGCCCCGTTGGGAATTTATGGGGCGCCTGCTGGTGGTCTCGGGGGTCCTCTTGGGGCGGAGGGCTCAGGATGGCAGTTCGAGTGATCCGTCGTGGGCCCGACTGGGGGCAACCAGTGTGGCGGTCAGGGGAGCAGAGGACCGGGAGGTGAGGCGGAAGGATGAGGGGGGAGAAATCAAACACGACCCATAGTTGGCACACAATGGCGGCTCCACAACGCCCCAACGCGGCCTACATACAGGCGGCCCAAGACGCCCCAAGATGGCCCCAAGACGGCTCGAAGACGGCCCACGAAGGCTCCAAGACGCCCCAAGATAGCCCCAGGACGGCTTCAAGACGGCACCAGAGCGCCCCGAGACCCCTCCCAGGCCCCGACCCATAGTTAGCACACAATGGTCCTTTTGCGTAAATGCGAAAACTCAAGGAATGGCGATCTGTTTGGGGCCGTCCTATCTTCAATGGGGCCCTTTTTTGCTAACTGTTCGCTGCCAACTGTAAGGAGGGAGGAGGGAGAGGGAGGAGGGAGGAAGAGGGAGGGAGGGACTGCCTCCGCCAACTTCTTCTCTTCATCCTCGATCTTCGCGGCGTGCTCCGCCGAGATGCGCTCGCGCTCGGCCTTGATCTTCTGCTCGAACTCTGCCTTCACCTCCGCGATGCGCACTCTCATCTCATTCCTGCCGGGTTGGACGAATAGGAGGGGAGGCAATCAGGGAGGGTCGCAATCCAGACCACGCAGCCGGCTTTCCCAACGCCTCCCGGGCGCCAGTGAGTTGTGCTGCCCAGCGCATGCCACTCCTGGCACCCCCAGAGTGGGTGCGGAAAATATGAGGAAGATGCCGAACAACTTACGCGGTCCGTAACCAACATAGGCCGCTGTTGGGCTGGGCAGCCGACTGGCAGGAGCCTTTGTATCCGAAGTCGGCAATGCCCGCGGCGGCACCGACGGCAAGCCCTGTTCAAAATGGGAAGCGCATGCTGCCAGTCTTCGTTCGCTTTCTTTTCAGACTGACTTGCATCGTATCGACATCCACTCACGCGGCAGATTTCCCCGGCGCCCCCCAGCGCCATCGTATTGTGCTGCCCTGCTCCTGCTACACCTGGCGCGCCCAGTGGGTACGGAAAACGTGGGAACGGTGCCGAACAACGAGTGCGGTCCCAAAGCCAGCATCCGCCGCTGTTGGGCAGGCAACCGGCAGGCGGCTTTCTGCCCGAAGAGGACAACGCCCGCTGCGGCATCGACAGCGAGCCCTGTTCAAAATGGGCAAGAACTGCCGCCAGTCTTCGTTGACAATTGTGTCCGTACCCGTTTCGATCGTACCGACATCAACTCACGCAGCTGACTGCTGCCTCCCGGCGCCTCCCAGCGCCATCGGCTTCTGCTGCCCCGCTGCCGCTACCCCTCTGCCAGGGTAGGCTATTACGCCAGCGCCGCCCAGCCAGCCCGTCTTCACTCGGCAGGGAAAGGTGCCACCCGGCACACGGCATGGGAGCAGGGGACCCACAAGACTGCAGAAGATCTGGCGCAGGGGCGGGCATGCGCAACACAACCATCGTGCTACCACAAGTCACGCTGACTTCGGGCCCCAGCGAGCCGCGGGCACGAATACGTTCCCCGACTTGGCCCGACAACCATTGACCAGAAAAGAACCCCTGACCCTTTGGGAGGAGACCTACGTTAGGAGGGCCAAAGACATTAGGGACGGGGGGTGTGTTCTGCAGATGTAGCGAAGCAAACCACCCAGAAGTATTACCCCGAAAAAGAAAAAACTGGGACTTCGGTGAGGCCACGTCTTCATCGTGTTGAGTTATCGGGGTTAGGGGATCTATCCTTTCTTCTCGATGAAACCCGAGCCCCTCCCGAGCCCGAATGCGGCCCCTGAGTCGGCGCCTCGGCTGCACTTCGGAGGCGGCGCCACCGAGGAGAAGCGCCTGGCGGCGGAGACGACACCAGCGACACGGAGCATGCAGGATCTCGTGCGTACCCCCCTCCCGTGCCCAGTCCCCCGCCCCCCCGTCCCTCGCTGCGCGGCAGGGATGCCGATCCATCACCACCGCCTGGGGGATCGAGCTGTCCGCGGCCTCGGCGGGCGGCGGATATGTATGACACCCCGAGACGGCAATCTGGTCCCGATGCCGTCCACGGGTCGTGTGCAGCGATGTCGTCCAACTGCCCGCTTTCTGCCAGGATCTTCGCTTGCAGACGCATCGCCTGGCAGGTGAGGACTCGACTCTACATGTCTTTGGTCGTATCCAGGCTAGCTTGTAATGTGCACGTGTGGAGCTCCATGCCATGGAAGGCGTACGCTAAGCTGAATGCTGTGTACATGCGAGGCCTAAGGCGCATTGCGGACGCCGCGAGATTCCGAGCGACAGTTTGACCGTGAGGCAGGCGCCAGACTTGCCGAGCCTTCAGTGCCTCATCGCCCAGCATCGTCTCTTCCTCCTCTCCTCGCTTCTGAAGTTCGCCCCTCCCCAGCTCCTTTCCGTTCCCTCCATCCCAGCCAGCGCGGCTGGGACGAAGCTGCCGTGGGTGCAGCTGTTGCTTCGCGACCTCGAACATTTTCACGAGTTTCACAGAACAAAAGTGCAGGAGCTAGGCCCGCCCTTGGAACACCCCGAGAGATGGGAGGCATCCATGATTCGTTTCCAAAGTCAGTGGAGATCCTTGGTAAAGCGATTGCGCATTCTTGAGATGCAGCTTGACTCGCCAGGTGAGCAGACTCCCTTGCCCGCCCCACTCGCTCGTTTTCCCTGCCCCGCCTGCTACTCCCGCTTCCCCTCCGAACAGGCCCTCGCCCCTCATCGGAGAGCAAAGCAGGGCGAACGCACGCCCTTCCAGGCGTACAGTCGGGCTGCTGAAAGAAGCAACGACAAACAAGGAACGAAGCCCCTTTTTGGCCCCACGAGCACCTGCGTGCACGAGGAAGGCTAGAGGAAAAGCCACAGAAGGACCTAAGGAATATAGAGCCCCTTTCTTACCCGAACTGTTCCTTACTTCAACGACGTGGCTGTACCTCCCCGCCTCTGGGGTGTACCCTGCTTGCCCACTGAAGTCTTCTTTCCCACCTCGCCTGCTGGCTCATGCGATCGAGACCCGGAGGCGCGGCAGGCGTGAGGCGTTGTGCAGCGATGTTTCAAGGCGGGCCTGGTTGCTCCGTTCGGCTACATGCAAGAGTGACCCTGGGTAAGAGTGACCTCTGGTGCGCGGCTTTTTGGGGGGCCGCGGGGGGACCAAACCTGGGCGCGCAAACCGCTGTTCCTGCTTCGTTTCCAGCCATCTCGGGACCCATCTGTGCCCGCACCAAAGGTCACTCCAGCGAAAGGTCACTCTTACGTCTAATCGATCCATTACCTCAGACCGAGATTGAAGCAGCTAATCGTCTCGATCGCCTGTTGAGAGGCGAAGCCCAAAAACGATGCTTAACACAGCCTCGCTCGACCCAGCCTGTACAGAAGAGGGCCGTGTCGTCGACTGTACCCCCGCACGCGTCATCGCGTGAAACCGGTTTTTCCTATGTGAAGATGTCCCCCCTCCGCCCAACGCGGTGGCATGTGAGACCATCTGGCCTACGAAAGGGCTGCGCACAAAGGTGTCGCTTGACGATTTGGCGCTCGCTCAGGCCTAGCGTCTGCTAGCCCTCGTATGCACGCTTCTGAATTTAATCGTCTGCACAGGTTTTAGGCCCAGCTGGATCATTAAAAACATCGGCCCCCCAAGGACCCGATTACACCCATGCCCCTCGCCCGACGAGCTCCCCGAAGATCGATCCCCCAGGCGGTGATCATGGACGCATGCCCCCCCCCCTCCCCCTCTCGCCCGACCACGATCCTCAGGGCCAGCTCCCCGTCGCCCAGCGCGATCTCCAGCCGGTCCTCGGCCGACCTCTTCACCGCCGACACGTCCCTCTCGAGCTTGGCCTGCGCCTCTCGGCAGCAAGCTCGGGGGGGGGGAAGTGAGAAGGGGCAGCCTTCTCAGAAGGCTCGGAAGTCCCCCGGCCTCCTGAGAAGTTTTCGGAGAGCCTTCCCCGAAGGCGCAGAACACTTCTGAGAAGTCGCGAGGGCTTCCGAAAGACATGCCGCCTCCAGAACAGGCCTGCTCTTTCTCATTTCCTCGGGGATCTTCTGACCCACGTCAATCCAGACCCAGGTCAGTCAGGCCTTGCAGGATCCGGCAGGATCCTGCAGGATCATGTTGGATCCTGCGCACAAGCCCGGGTCAATGCACCCCTGGCTCTGCAGCATCCTGCAAGATCCGGCGCTCTGACTGACCCCCGTTTGCATCGACCCCCGTCCCTCGAGCCCCGATTTCCCCACCATCGCTCGCCGCCCGGCCTCCGCCTCGGAGTCCGCCACCCGGCGTTGCACCGCCTTGGCGACCACCTTCTCGACCTTCTTCAGCGCCTCCGCAGCCCGCGCGGCCTCCTCCCGCGCACCTCGGACCACCTCCCGGGCCTCGCCGTAGGCCTCCTTGGCAGCGCGGACGGCCTCGCCCTTGGACGGCAGCCCCCCGGGCCGCGACTCGGAGCGCTCCTCTGGAAGAAGATGGCACTACAACAGCAACGACAACAACAACCACATCAACAACAAGCACAACAACAACCACAACAACAGCGACATCGACAACGACAACGACAACAACAACAACAACAACAACAACAACAACAACAACAACAACAACAACCACAACAACAACCACAACAACAACAACGATAACAACCACAACAACAACAACAACGTCAACAACAACAACAACAACAGCGACAGCAGCAGCAGCAACAACCACAGCAACAACAACAGCGACATCAACAACAACACCAATGACAACAACATCAACAACCACAACCACAGCCACAGCAACAACAATAACAATCACAACCACCACACCAACAACAACAACAACAACAACAACCACACCAGCAGCAATCATGTTAAGACTGCTCACTCTTATCTGCTCGCGTGCCATTCAACACGTATATCCCACACCCTCGATACCCACCCTCTTCGTCTTCGATTGTATCTCCATTGGGGGTATATCTCTCTTACCTGCAACGTGTAGTTCGGGCAGCATCTACGGCAGGGGACGAGAGGACGGATGAAAGGAAGGAGCAAGGGGGAGCGAGGAGGATGGAGCACGAGAGAGAGGAGCAGGAGGGGGCCTAGGAGCAGAGCACACGTAGCTAAATCAGACGGGCAGATCGGGCGGGTAGACCCTAACAGACGAGCCCAGGCGGCCAGGTAGAGCAGGCGGTTTGCTGAAGCGTGCGTCCTGCATGAATCGCGAGGAAGCCTTGAGCGACAACGCGATTTCAAAATAAATCGAGTGAGGAAGTCCAGAGCGACAGCGTTATTCCTGAGTGTAGAAGGCGCGGCGCCTGAATCAATTGTAAGGACGTCCCAAACGACAGCGCGATTCCCGAGTGTCGAAAGCGCGACGCCTGAATAAATTGCAAAGAAATATCAGGAGAGAGCGCGATTCTTGGATACATTGTAAGGTTGTTGTTGTAAACCCGGGGCCAGGGGCACAGCTTGAGCAGGAAGACTTTCCCTTGTAACAAGAACAGTGTGCGAGCCCTGGGAGGGGCACTTCAACTGAAAAAAACACATAGGTTACCGGAACTCAACAAAAATCATCCTTCAGAAATTAGACTTCAGCAGCAAATGCAAACACAACAACAGCAACAACAACAACAAGACCGACAACAACAACATTCGTAAACTACTGTTCGCGGTTACCTGCTCACGTGCCATTCAACACGTATATCCCCCACCCTCGGTACCCGCCCTCTTCGTCTTCGATCGTACCCCACTGGGGGTGTGTCTTCCTTAATTGGCGCAGCCCCTGGAAAAGGGGAAGATAGGACGAATGGAAGGGGGAGGGAGAAGGATGGAGCAGGGGAGAAGGGGGGCTAGGAGAAGAAAAACACTTGGCAGAACCAGACGGGCCCAACGGACTGGTAGACCCTAACGGGTGGGTCGGGAAGGCGGGCCCAAGCGGCCAGGTCGAGAAGGTTTGTTGCTGAAACTTGAATAGTGCATGAATCGCGAGAGGAGTATGAGCGATAACGCGATTCCCGAGTAAATCATGGAAACGACTAAAGCGAGAGCGTGACTCCTGAGAGTCGAAGGCGCGGATTCCTGCATAACTTGCGAGAAAATCCCTAGCGAGAGCGCGATTCTTCAATACAACGCAAGGAAATATCAGGCGGGAACCGCTGTTCTAGTTATAAAACGGGGACCAGGGGCACAATGAGGTGACATCTCGCTTCCGCTTGCAAGAAAACAGGGTGCGAGCCCCGGGATAATCGCTGTGATTGAAAACTGCCATGGTTACGGGAGGGGGATCGACAACAACAATTCTTTAGGAATGAGATTTCAGCAGCAGCAACAACAACAGCACCAGCAACAGCAACAGCAACGCCAGCAACAACAGCAACAGCAACAACACCAACAATTACTAGCACGTGGGGACACTCCGTTCTCACCAGTGCCAGGGTTTTCATAGGAGGCGGGCAATACCCCCACTTTGTGGGGGGGCCGGTTCAAGCTCTACCAAATTTCCAAACGACTCTTCGCCACCACCCACACCCAGCTTCCCGCCCTATGACGTTCGGACACTTCACTTCGTGGCATGCGGACGACCGTGGCTACTATTCAGGGCCCCGCGGCCGACGACGACGGCGTGCGCGCGCGAAGAAAAAACGAATGTGTCCCGCATGGTATTATTTGACAGGGATGATGGCCCTGGCAGGTGCGCAACCGTTGTTGCAGAAGTTCGAAAAAGTTGCTCGCAAAAGCCCGTTTGACAGAAATGTTTAAAAAGTGTTGGGTTTCCTACGAATCCGCAAGAGCGCGCGGGATGAAATTTTGACATTTTTTTTTGAAAAAACCATTGATGTTTTTGATGTTTTTATGTTAAAATCGCTACGAACACTAAGGTTTTGGAAGGATTTCGTCTTGCGCGCGCGAATGTCCACTTTACCTTATTTTTTGCAAGGGATTCTTGAAATTTGGTTATGTTAGAACAAGAAATTTCATTTTATAGTGTTTTTTGCAAGGGAAAGCGGGGGGGAACAAAACAACCGGATCTGGATCACATCGTTTTGCCTGAGACTTCCTCACGAAAATGATGAAAATGTGGCTGCGGCCTAGGCGCGGCGGGGGGGGCGCGCACCAGGGGTCCCAACAATAATTATTCTTAAGAAGAAATAATGTTCAACAATTTGGAGTATGTTCGCTCTTATCTGCCCGCGCGCCATTCAACACGTATATCCAATAGTCTCGATATCCACCCTCCTCGTCTCCGATCTTACCCCCTTGGGGGTGCATCTTTCGTACCTGCAGCGAGTATGTCGTGCAGCCCCGGGAAAGGAAGGACGGATGGAAGGAAGGCAGGCGGGTTGCTGAAGCGTGCGTTCTGCATGAATCGCGAGGAAGTCTCGAGCGATAGCGTGAAGATTCCCAAATAGATCGTGAAGGTTTCCACAGCGAGAGCGTGATTCCTGAGTGTCGAGGGCGCGGCGTTTGAATCAATTGCGGAGAATCCCCACGCGCGAACGCAAATCCTGTATTAATTGTGAGGATGTCCCGCGCGAGAGCTCGATTTTGGAATGAAGTGTGAGGAAATATAAACCGGGAGCCGCTGTTTGTTGTAAACCAGGGGGAGGGGCACAATTAGGTGATGCCACTTCCCCTTGCAAAGAAAGGATGCGAGCCCCGGGAGATGTGCTTGAATTGAAAACTAAAATATGGTTATCAGAGGGGGATCAATAATGATGATCCTTTAGACATGAGAATGCAACCACAACAGCAACACCAACAACCAAAACAACACCAGCAACAACTAAAGCAACAACAACAACAACAGCAACAACAACAGCAACAATAGCAGTAACAACATCAATAACAACAACAGCTGCAGCAGCAACACAAATCAGTTAAACCTGCTCGTTCTTACCCGCTCGCGTGCCACTCCAAAAGGTATATCCCAAACCCTCGGTAACCGCCCACCTCGTCATCGATCGTATCCACTGGGGCGCATATCTTCCGTACCTGCCACGTGCATTTAGCGCAGCACCTAAAACAGGGAAAGAGATAACCGATGAAAGAGAAAGGAAGAAGGATAGCACGAGATAAATTAGCAGGAGGGGGGCGAAGAGCAGAAAACACGTGGCAGAACCAGACGAACAAATCGGGCGGGCAGACCCTTGCTGGCGAGTCGGGAAGGTGGGGGTTGGCCTAGGGTCGGCCTAGGGGTAGGCCCTAAGGCAAGCCTAGGTTAGGCCTAGGGGGAAGCCCTAGGGTAGACCTGCTGTAGGCCTAGGGGTAGGCCTTTGGGTTGGCCTAGGGTAAGCCTTGCCAGGGCGATATGTGCGAGAACGCGATCCTTGCAGAAATTGCAAGAAGTCTCGCGCGAGAGCGCAATTGGTAAAGGTTGTGAGGAAGTATCACGCCGGAGCCGTTGAATTCTCATTGCTAAAGGATATTGGATGTTGACCCCCCTTGCCTGGTGACTGTTGTGTTTCGCAATCAGGGTGACCCGCCCGGGGTTCGCATCATGTTGCTCACAAAATAAAGAATGGGATCAACAACAACCATCATTTTAAGATTGTTCGCTCCTATCTGCTCACGTGCCAACCAATACGTATATCCCAAGCCCTCGGTACCCGCCCTCGTCGTCTTCGATCGTACCCCCGTGGGGGTATATCTTCCTTACCTCCCACGTGCATTTAATGCAGCCCCTGAAACAAGGGAAGAGAGGACGGGTGAAAGGGAGAGAAAGAAGAATGGAACATGAGACAAATTAGACGGAGGGGGGCAAGGAGCAGAAAACAAGTGGTAGAACCAAACGGGCAGATCGGGTGGGCAGACCCATACCGGGCAGGTCGGGAAGGCGGGCCCAAGCGACGAGGTCGAGCAGGCGGGTTGCTGAAGCGTGGGTCCTGCATGAATCGCGAGGAAGTCTCGACCGATAACGCGATTCCCAAGTAAATCGTGAGAAAAGCCAGCGTGGGCCACGAAGGGAATAAAATCCTACGCCACAGAGGGCAGCGACGGGGCCGCTGAGGGCAGCACCGGGGCCAAGAAGGGCAGCGAGGGGGCCACAAACGGCGACAGCGGGGCCACGAAGGGCATGCATATGGGGCCACGACGGGAGCGAGCGGGGGCCACAAGGAGAATTTGTATACGGGGCCACAAAGGGCGACAGCGGGGCCACTGAGGGCAGCAAAGGGGCCACTGAGGGCAGCAAAGGGGCCCAGAAGGGCGACAGCGGGGCTACGAAGGGCATGCGTATGGGGCAACGACGGGCGCGTGCGAGCGGGAACCACGAAAGGCATATAAGGCGGGGCCACAAAGGGCAGCGACGGGGCCACTGAGGGCAGCAACGGGGCCACGAAGGGCAGCGAGCGAAAGCGACCGCGGAACCAGTACGGGCAGCGAGGGGCATCGAAAGCGGGCGAAGGGCAGCGAGCGGCGACTGCAGTCATTAACGGGTTGGTCGGGAGGGCAGGCCCCGATGGGCGGGTCGAGCGGGCGGGTCGTTGAAGCATGAGTCCTGCTTGAACCACGAGGAACTATGTAGCGGGGGCGCGATTCCTGAGTGTCGAGGGCCGGCATCTGGATGAATTGTGAGGAAATATCAAGCGAAGCGGTTCGGTGGTAAGTTGTGAGGTAGTACCAAGCGAGACCGCGATTCTACAATACGATTCTAGAATACATTGTCAAGAAATTTCAAGCGGGAGCCGCGGTTCGGTGGTAAATTGCCAGGAAGTCCCAAGCGAGAGCGCGATTCTTTAATACATTGTGAGGATGTCTTAGGCAGGAGCCGTTGTTGTTGTAGCCCAGGGGAGCAGCAACGCAGTTTGGCCCGGACTAAATTGTGAGGAAGTCTCCAGCGGGAGCGCCGTTCCTGAGCTAAGTGCGAGGAAATCTCAAACGGGAGGGGGGGGTCCTGAGCAAATTTGGAGGAAGTCTCAGGCGGGAGCCATTGTTGTTGTAGTTCGGGGGGCCAGGGACACAGTTTGACCACCAAGACTTTCCCTGTCAAAAAACAGGGTGCGAGCGTCGAGGGGCACACTTTAACTGAGAAAAAACAGCATGCACTGGTGAGGGGGGATCAACAATAACTATTTGTAAAAAATAAGAGATCAACGGCTCCCGCCTTATACTTCCCCATAATGGATTGAGAAATCGCGCTCTCGCCACGGACCTCCTCACAATGTATGTAGAAACCTAGCTTTTGCGCGGACCTTGTTCGCAATGTATGCACGCCACGGCTCCGATGCGCAGGAACCGGCTCTCGCTCTGAACTTTCTGGCAATTCACTTGGGAATCGCGCTATCGTTCAAGACCTCCCCGCGATTCATGCAGCACCCACGCTTCAACAACCCGCTTGCTTGACCTGGCCCGCCCGTTAAGGTCTACCCGCCCAAAAAGTCCGTCTGGTTCTGCCACGTGCGTTCTGCTCTTAGCCTCCCTCCTGCTAGTCCCGTGTTCCATGATTTTCCCTCCCCCGTCAATCCGTCCTCTCTTCCGTTGTTTTCGGGGCTGCACCAATTACACGTGGCAGGTAAGGAAGATATACCCCCACAGGTTACGACCGAAGACGAAGAAGGCGAGGGCTTGGGGTACTCGTGGTACTTGGCACACGAGCAAGTTAAAAAAAAAACATACAGCCATTCATCACGGTTTGTTGTTGTTGTTGTTACATTCCCGCCCCTGGAGATCAATTGCTGTTGGTCCCCTGTATACTGGTGCAGATAGTGTTTTTCAATTGGGATGCCCCCCATCGGAGCTCGCATCCTGCTATGTTGTTGCGCCCCGAACTACAGCAACAATTGTTTGCGCCTGATACGTCCTCACAATTCATTCCACAATCGCGCTCTCGCGCCCGATTTCCTCAATGTATACAGGAATCACGCTCTCGTGTGGGATTTTCCCGCAACGTATGCAGACGCCGCGCCCTCTACACTTAGGAATCACGCTCTTGCTTTGGCCTTTCTTTTACTTGGGAATCGCGCTGTCGCTCGAGACTTCCTCACGAGTCATGCAGGAATAATGCTTCAGCATCCCGCCTGCTCGACGTGGTCACCTGGGTCCGCCTTCCCGATCCGCCCGCTAGGGTCTGCCCGCCCGATCTGCCCGTCTTGTTCTGCCACGGGCGTTCTGCCACGGGCGTTCTGCTAATTTCTCTCGTGCTCCATCCTTCTCCCTCCCCCTTCCATCCGTCTTCTCTTCAGCTGTATAAAAGCTGCGCTAAATGGCAGTTAAGGATGATATATCCCCCAAGGGGCTACGATCGAATATGAAAAGGGCGGGTACCGACGGTTTGTGATATACGTGTTGAATGGCACGCAAGCAGGTAGGAACGAACAGTCTTGAAATGAGTGTTGTTGTAGTTCGGATGACAAAAGCGCAGTCTGAGGCGAGCCCCAGGAGGGACACTTCAACTAAAAAATACAATGGGCACTTGGAAGGGGGTCAACGACAAGTGTTCCTAAGACATGGGAATTCAACAATCACTTTAAGAATGTTCGCTCTGATCTGCTCGCGTGTCACTCAATATGTATATATTCCCCCCAGCTACGTTAACTACCAGAGCAATAAGGAAAGGAGGGAGGAGCCATTTATTGGCGATAACCGCGAGCACAGCCGTAGGCCTCCCGCCCGCCTACCCTGCACGGTAGGCGGGTTAAAAGTTGAGGGGTGGGTGGTGGAAAAAGCGCCGCTCTAAGCACAGAAGGCTGCGGAAGAGGGGAAAGGAGGAGGACAGGAGAGGGGGATGTTAGAGCACTACGGCCTAGGAGGGAATATAACCGTTTAGGCTTTTGGCCAAACGAAACCATATTCCCCCCAGCTACGTGAACTACCAGAGCAATAAGGAAAGGAGGGAGGAGCCTTTTATTGGCGATAACCGCGAGCACAGCCGTAGGCCTCCCGCCCACAACCACCCGGGTCCCTCCAACCTCAAAAAGCCGACAGGCGGGCCCTAGTAGTCTGCCCAAGGCGATGTCTCAAACAGTAAAGTTGGGGCAGGCCCTGATGGCCCACTGGCTACAAAAGTCGGAGCGGAAACCAAGGGCGCACCAGGATGGGTGAGCCAGCGCTGCCGACGCGGAGCCGAAGCCTCAAGGTTACTCACAGTGCAAGAAGGGCGAGAGCAGGGCACACCGTGGGGGTGAAACCCAGAAGCTGCAAGCCAAAAACAGCTGCAAAACGCAAGATGCGGTTAAAGGCGGGCTGTAATCCGGGCGACGCCACGGGGTACAGGCAGCAGCTGGATGCTGCCTGGCGGGGGGGCGCCCTCGGGCCACCGAAACTGGCCATCGCTGACTCGCGTCGATTCGCGAACTAGACGGTCCCTGGGGAAGCGGCCGCACCTAAAGAACTGGGGAAGGTGGGGCCCCTCGGCCCCCCTCCCTCGAAAACGTGCCGGACTGTGGGAGGGGCTCCTCCCCACCAGGCCCAACGCACGCCTTGACTAGAGTAAAAGTTTGGCGGGCCCTAGTGGCCCGCCCGGCAAAGGTCGGAGCGGACAAGATCGGAGCGGAAACCAAAAACTCCGGGAAGGTGGGGCCCCTCCCAGAGGTCCTTGGGAACCATGTAGCGGTTCCGGTCGTGAATGCTAGTTGTATGAATATCAAAAATGGTTCCGGATCTGTCCTGCTATACAAGATGGTTCCGGTGCTATCTTTTGGTTCCGGTTTATATGCCAATATATGGTGGCATGCGTGCATAGATACATACATGTATATTTGCACGCGTACGTGCTATATATATATATGTATACATGTATATGTATGTATGTAGCAATGCGTGTATATGTATATACATATATGTGTATACAAACGCACATTTATACAACTTACAATATATATATATATATATCATGCATACATAGTATATATTAACACATATAATGTATATGAATACACACATATACATATATGTATATATGTAGGTGTGTCTGCTTAAATATACACATGCACATTCTACATCTATATAAATATACATATATATGTGTATATATACATATATATGCATATGGGTACATCGGTTCATATTCTTCCTCCACTGCCGTCGTCGGCCGTTCCATCCCACCCCCGTCGCCCTCCGCCCTCCCCCCCGCCTCGCGCACCAGCGCCCCTGTGCTCAAGATGGCGGGCACCACGGGGGGCGCGACGTCGCCGCGCGATGGCGACGAATGCGAGGAGGGCGAGGAAAACATCAAGCCAGTGGTCATAGCCAAGGCGTGCTGCCCGCCCCTGACCCCGTCGGACGGGGTCAGACACTCCAAATCGTTGGGCGCTGCGCAGGGGCAAATGGACGGGGCCCGTCCGTTTGCCCCTGCGCAACGCCCAACGATTTGGAGCGTTACCCATCGTTTCCCCGCAGCGCCCCCCATCTACTCTTCCATCCTTTATTTCTATCGCTCTATCGTTTCCCCGCAGCGTCCCCCCTCTCCCCTTCCATCGCCCGCCCGACCCGAGGCTCTCCTCGAGCACGTGCGGGGGCCCAATTTCTTCCAGTACCCGCGGGGCCTCCGCTCCGCCGAGGTCATCACGGAGAGGCTAATAGAGGCGGGGAGGGGGGGCAAGGATTACGAGGATGAGGAGAGGGGGCGAGAAGGGGAGGGAGCAGCGAGATGAGGGAACGAAGGGGGCGCATGAGGAGCGACAGAGAGGAGAGACACAGAGAGAGAGAGAGATATAGTGAGAGAGGGAGATGGGGAGAGAGAGAGAGAGAGAGAGAGAGAGAGAGAGAGAGAGAGAGAGAGAGAGAGAGAGAGAGAGAGAGAGTGAGAGAGGGAGAGAGAGAGAGAGAGAGAGAGAGAGGGAGAGAGAGAGAGGAGAGAGAGAGAGAGAGAGAGAGAGAGAGAGAGAGAGAGAGAGAAGAGAGAGAGAGAGAGAGGAGAGAGAGAGAGAGAGAGAGAGAGAGAGAGAGAGAGAGAGAGAGAGAGAACAAAAAAAACAAACAAACAAACAAAACACACATGAACACAGAAAGAGACAGAGACAAATAACGAGTGAGGGGGGGCGGGAGCGAGGGGGATGGAGTAAGAAACTAAACGCGACTAAGAAAACCATGGGCAAATTGGATTGGGGGAGGGAAGTGGAAAAGGAAGGGACCGCGTCGCAGTTCCGATGAAAACCACCCGCCCTCAATCCGTGAAACCCGCGCTGAGTTCAACGCGAATGTGCGCCGCGCTGAGGCGAGAACAACATTTTGAAAAGCACCCGCCCTAAATCCGTGAAACTCGTTACCATTGTGATATCCGCCCGTCGTCGGTGATACGTTCCCGTCGCAGTCGTTGCGGTCGACGTCCCCCCTCGGGCGGGCAGCACCAGCCCACGTTGATCAAGCTGCGGGGGATCGTCGAAGGCGAAAAAGTTACTGCGGCCACGTGGAAAGCCGCCATGAGGCTCATCGTTGCGCTCAAGAAGACGTCTGGATTGGGGAAGCTATCGTCGACGGTGGGACTGGGGATTGTTCTGGTGCGTTCGCGTGACGACGTTGCATCTCTCCCCGCGCCCACCTCGCCCCCCCCCCGTCGTCGCCCTCTTCCCCATCGGCCCCCGAGCCTCCCAAGACGCTGGCATGAGGGCCAGTTTGGGCTCGGGAGAGGCTCTGGCGTTCGGGCCGCCCCTTAGCTTCACAGTCTGGAGCCAGTTTGTGGCCGAGGCTCGCCGTGGTCAGAAAAGCTCGTTCCTTATTCAACGGTCTTGCTGGTAGCACGATGGCAGTAGGTGAGGAAGCAGGTGTTCGCAATGTGGTTTGGGCGGTTGCATGTTTCGCGCGTAATCCCTGTCGCCAGGGGCAGGGCAGGAGACTGAAGAGCGGGTTGAGGTTCATGCTGACAGGCTACGAACGGCGCTATGCCACATCCGCGATGCGATCAACAGGCACCCCGATACGAAGTGGGTGCGGCCGTTCGTAGCGATGAAGAGGCCCGCGTCAGATGATTGCGAGCAGGACAAGAAGGCGGAATGCGAAGATGAGGATATCAAAGAGGAAGAGGAAGAGGAAGAGGAAGAAGAAACTAATGAGGATGAGGAGGATAAAGAAGAGGAGGAGGAAGAGGCAGCCGCTAGAAGCATCAAAGAGGAAGAGGACGAGGACGAGGCAGACGAAGACGAAGAGCACAACGAAGAGAAAGCCACGCCCGTGTCAAAGCGGCCAGCGAAGAAAGCATCCGATGAGCCAACATATCATGAGGACAAGCCAGGTGAAAAGCTAAAGAAGGTGCTTCGGAGGCCAGCCTCGAAAGTAGTTGCGAAGAGGCCTGCTGCCAAGCCAGCTGACGATGACGAGGCATCAGGTGACGGCGCTGAGGAGACGGTGCGAAAGAAACCAGCAGCAGGGGCAGCAGGCGCAGTTGAGGCACGCAAAAAAGAAGCCAAGAGGTTGAAAGCCACGTTTACAGATAAAGAATGCGAGGGCCCCGAAGTCGATGCAGAGAGACAAATGCTAGCTCATCGGATCAAGCTTGGATCAAAGACAGTTATGACTAGTGTTAGGCAAGTTGAAGTGTTCGACGAGATCGAGGAAAGTGTCTTCGACGATGCATGGCCCAGGGGCCCAGCGTAGTGAGTAGACTCAACGAAATCGAGAAGAGGAGGCACGTTGCAATGCAGCGAGAAATGACGGCTCAGGCAGAGGAGGCTGCAAAGAAGAGGAAGCTGGATGAGACGGCTGAGGCAGCAGGGAAGGCAGCTGCAGGTTCAGCAGCAGTCGCGGCAGGAGGGAAGAGCTCAGGAGGAGATGAGAAGACAGCGAAGTGGTGCTCTGCAAAAGCCATGGCGTACATGCAGCGGGCGGGCTCGGGAGCGAAGAAAGGTCCGCCCATCTACAGCGACGAGCTTGATAGCACGAGTTATGAGAACGAGGTGAGGGCTAAGATTGCAGGAGAATGGATTCGCGTGGAAAACATGAGGCCTGAAGATTTGGCAGAAGCGCTGGAGGTGAAAACGCATCCTGGAAAGGGCAGGGCACCGCCAGTGTGGGAAGGAAAGACGCATGATGGGAGGAAAAAGCTGGAGGCCAAGTTGAAGCCACAGAAGGAGATGCTTGTTTTGCTTGTCCCGCTGCTTCTGCCCTCCGCTCAGGCCCATTCCAGCGTTGGTGTCAAAATTGCACTGCCACTTCAAAACTTGCGTGCGCTGAGGTTCTGGGGAATTAGAGGCCATCCTCACATCGCCCTTATCCTGGTCCTCCTTCCCTATCTGCCCATCCTCCTCGCCCCCCCGTCCATCCTCGCCCTCCGGTCATCCTCGTCATCTGGTCTCTTCCTTACTCCCCATCCTCTCCCCCCCTGCCCGCCCTCTCGCCCTACCCCTGCCCCCATCCACCCTTAGCCCATGCCCCGCGCGACGAAGCACTGCCTTCGCGCGCCCCCAGGATCGGCACTCGATCTTCGTGATGCAGGAGAAGAAGGCGAAGCCAGGCGAGAAGTGGAGCCAGGTATGCCAGGTGACGATCAAAGGCGAGGTGACTTACGAGATTGCGCGCCAGGCCATAGCCAACCTGCGCAAGAAGTACTCCGCAGGACACTGGGAATGTCGCATCGCAAGGTCGGGGAGAGTAGCGATGAGCTCAGCAATGAAGAGCGGTGAAGTACGATGGAGTCTGGCGAGGAGCGTTTAGATTCAGAGGATCGGGGGAGGGAGAGGGAGAGTGAGAGAGATGCAGCTCCAGAGCGATATCCAGGAAGCCAAGAGAAATGCGAAAGAGAGAGAGAGAGAGAGAGAGAGAGATGGAGAGTGAGGCCGAGAGGCAGGAATAGGAGGAGTGATATAGGCATCTAGTAATATATAACGCAAGATGCAAATAACATGCGAGAGAGAGAGAGAGAGAGAGAGAGAGCAAGAGGGAGAGAGAAAACAAATAAACAGAGAGAGAGAGAGAGAGAAACAAAAAAAAAACACGACCGAGCGAAAGAGATCGAGCGTGAGGAAAAGGGAGGGAGGCCAGATCAACGCCGACAATGTGTACGAGTCGCGGGACAAGGAGGTGGAACAGCTGACTGCAGCTGCGCCAGGTGGGGCGGCGGTGCAGGGGCGCTGCCTCCTCGTCATCGTTTCTCAGCCATTCCTATGCTCATTCTCGTCATGTATCCTAGTCATCCTTCGTTTCTCAGCCATGTCATCCTCGTCGTGCTCGTCATGCCTGATTCCATCGTTTCTCAGCCATGTCATCCTCGTCAGTCTCTCATTCAGTCGTCGATGCTATGATTGGCTTGGCAACGCATTCCGATGCGTTGCCAAGCCAATTCCCAATGTCGACGACCAGTCGTTTGCAATCGCGGGGACGGGGAGGTGATCGGGATG